ATTCTCTTTTCTTCGTAGCGTTAAACGTGAAACACTAGCCCCCATGGTGATTTTTTTCCGAATACGTAATTTTTTTTTTGGTAGTCATTCTTTATTTATACTAAATTTAGGAAATGATCATTTTATTGTTATTAGTGTCATAAATTTATGTTTATTGATTGTTTGGAGGTTTCTTTTCTCGTGATTAGGCTTTTTTTTTTTTTTTGTCTTTTCTCCTTATTAAGCTTTTTATTCCGTAGTGTTAAAGGTGAAAATATGGGTCCTTTCATGTTCCTTTAATTCTCTAATGGTTAACTAGGTGCTTGCCCCGGGCGAATGCCCAGGGTGTGGCCTGTATTTTTAAATCGATTAAATAAAAAATACAAATCATTTTTAAAAGAATAAAAAAAATAGAAGAATAAAAAAGTGATTGAAAGGACAGAAAGTGAGTTATTACACATAAATTTATGCCGACATTTTCAACATTTAATTTACAACAGTTAACTTATGCCTGAATTCATATAAATCATAAACCAATATCTACAACAGAAGAATAAAAAAAATCATCCTTAAAAATTAAATTTCTTTCATGAGAACTTATTTTTTCTCTGTTGTAGAAAGAGATGGATTGATAATTGATGTCAGATTTTAAGTAATTGATTTAAAGGTCAGGGTGTGAAAGAAGAGCGGAATGGAAGAGATCATTTGAAATTGGAGATTGAGAAGACATTACTGGTGTTTCACTTGATTTAAGAGAATTTTCTTACATTTGATTTTATCGATTAAATATTGTTGTTTTAAGTAATTAGTATATGCCTATAATTAAGAGATTTTTATATAGCTACAATTAAGGGATTTATGTATTCATCTATTCCATCTTTTTTTCTGATTAATTAAAGTGCCACGCGTCAAAAATGATTTTGTACTGAAAATAGCTTTTGACGGGAAAATTTTCATTGTGGTGGTGACACATGTCCTTTTTGTTTGTTGCTTTAATTAAGTATATTATAGATGAAAAAAATTTAATCGGGTAAAATTAGTTACTTATAGATTTTACGAATTTACAAATAAAAAATTATCATTAAATAATACGATGATGTGATTGTGACATGTAGACTTGTCTATGTATTATTATTATATTTTACCATATTGTTAGTGAATGAGAAAGTTAATGATCATGCTAGTTATTGAATTACATTATAGATATCTTTTCACCTAATGGTGTTGTATTTTTGTTATTTCTCTTCTGAGTGACAAAAGAACTAACTTCTGATGTATGTAATTAAACTACTCTAGTCCAAGCCTTCCCTAAATAATACTACAAGTGAATAGTGAGTGAATCCTTGTCCCTTCAAATACTCTTACGCACTCTCCATCAAAGATCACATTCTCCCATTTACTTGTCTTTTTGAAATGTGAGTTAAAAATGGTCCAAGAAGAGTATAATGTACTACGTCATTAAAGTCAACTGCAAAATGTCAAATCTCTACCTAGTTTCCTGCATGATTAAACTAGTCATTCATAAATGAAATTAAAATTTTAATTTAAAAAGGGAAAAAAAAAGATAAAGAAATCTGTACTAATTTTAGTAGTTTTTTTTTACTTCATTTGTCTAAAAAAATAGTGTATTTTGTCTAAAAAATAGTGTATAAAAGAAACCTTTTTTTCTCGAGAGAGGTATTTTTTTACTACTAAATGAAAGACGAGTTAACAAAGTGCAACCAAAGTAGTCTAACATCATGTTAAATTGCACATGTGATTTTCTATTTATTATTGGGTATAATTGTATTTGTAAAAGAAATAGAAATTAAATCAAAATTATAATGTTTTTAGAGTGACCTTATTAATCTCATATAATAGAAATCTAAATCAAATCAAACGTTTTTATTGTAAAAAAGCTTTGTAATATCATGATGAATCCCATCAATCAAGTATAGGGGTCATAACGTAAATCTAAATATGTACTTTTGTCAGTTTGTAATGTTATTTTTGTGATCTTTTAATCTAAAAGAATAATAAAAATAGTTTGAATACGAATATTGAATACAATGTTATATGAAGAAAGAACAGAATAATAACTCATACAGAAGTAGAAGGAGAACAATTTTAATTACAGAAATAGTATCTTTTTATTTAAAGACAAATTGGAGAATATCCCTCCAATTGATATTCTTCTAAAGACAAAATTTACCCAATTTGAAATGTCAGTCCAAATTTGAGATTTATATTATTGATCATTACTATATTAAGTATTATTAGTGATATATATTTTGTAAAAAATTTAAAACCAATTTGATAGTTTAGCTTTAACTTTTTAAATATAAAAAATACTTATTTCTACTTTGCAAATATAAATATATTCACACCCAAAAAAAAATTTGCAATCAAAATTACCATTTCGATTTCAATTTTCTTTTCAAATGAATCTCGGTAATCTACCATTTTATCATATTGTATACTAGGTTCTGAACCCGTGCGTTCGCACAAATATATAATAGATTAATGTATTTTTGCTTTTATACAAGAATTTTAATTTGCACAAAATGAGTGATTTCAAAATAAGCGAATTGAAAATATAATGCATCATTTGCCATTCATATGATGATCAAGTATATGTAGGAAGAAATTAGTAGTAAAATTCTGCAGATTCATTGTAGAATGGGGATAGCATATATTTGCTATTGGTCCTAATATTAATAATATTAAGATCAACTTTTGACAATATCACTTCTCAAACCATCTAAAAATGATTTCACTACTGCATTTAGTTCTTATGTTGTATTCTTCACCCAAATGCCGATGTAAAACTAAAAAGAGTCAAATTTTGCTAACCACAAAAAATGATGCAATTTATTTAGATTCAGACAATTAATGCTATTTTTACAATATGTAATATTGTTCTTGCCGAACTTGTCGATGATTTGAAACACTGAAGTACAAAATGTAGTTCTCTTTTTTACTTCGATCTCGTGTACAAACAAATCTTGGAATATTCAGACAAAATCTGATTGTGCAAGAACTTTCATTTCTGCAATCAAAATAAGAAACAAAGAGAGTGATAAATAATAATGATAGAAATTGCTTGCTCAATCAAGAAGAAAAACAGATGGCAATTAATCTAGATGGCAATTACATTACCATTTGATTTTTTTTGGCCGAATCTTCTCATGAAAAAAGAGTTGTAATATACAAATGTAGTTCCCTTTTTTTTCTCTCTCTCTCTCTCTTTTGTTTTTTTTTTGGCTTTTAGTTTGTTATTTGTGGCCATTCTTACGATAGCAAGTAGGTCTTTAAATTACCCTTGGATTGAGAACTCTAGCACATAATTATATATAAACTTGCAAGACTTTATTGAATGAGTTCTTGTCAACTTCTAATTTCGATAAAAAGTAACTCACATTATAAAACAGAAAAATAGAAACACAATGAAAAGTCATATGGAATCGTTTCAACTTTGGAATCAATTTGTTCCCGAACTTGTCAATTTCAATTTTGAATATTTTATTTTCGACTTAAAAATGTTAAGCTTGAGTCTATATGAAAATTAAAAAATCAAACCTACGTATCATCCCAAAGAACACAGTAAATCAAAATGTAATGATACCATTAAGTCCGTTAGTTTGACACAATTACCAAAGGTAAAAGAGTAGGTCAAGCTTAAAACTTCACTACTGAGAAGTCTAGTGAAACAAAGGAAATAAACCAAATGGTTCAAATGTAAAAAGTAAATTTCTAAGTGAAAATGTAGTAAAAAATCATATTTTGTGGTTGTAGTGTGCAATTTTTAGATTTGACTTTCAGACTATAACACTGATTTCTTTTCGACAGGGATTTTCAATGCTCAATTTTGCTTCCAAAATACCTAATTTTTCAAGAAGAAACTTATCTTTTAAATGATTATAATAGAAAAAAAACGCATCAATAATATTCTTTTACAACAAAAGCACCTGACGTAATCAATAACTGATGCCGATTCCATTGAATTCTACTGGGCTCCTCGAACTACTTGTGGACTAATGTTGTAATCAGCCTATGTCTTTGTCGTAGTGTTTGACAATGGTGTAGAGGAATTCTTTCATTTTCTTGAATCTTTAGCATCAAAGGCTTCGTAGAAGTTTGAGAGTAGTAACCATTGCAATAGTAATTTATAAAATATTTGCATCTAGGGGGAAAAGAATACTATCATTGTAATCATAGGACGGGAAAATGTTTTAGTTTCGGTTTGAATAGGAGGGGATAGTCCTTTATGAATTTAGAATTTGGAATTCACTGTGGGAGAAATAAAGATTGTGTAAGAACATGGAATCCTGATTGAAGATCAATCATGGATGAACTTGCAGTTACCCTTTACGGTTGATTTTGAGATGTCATTAGAGATAATTTACTGTTTTGTTTTGGATAGGTTTAATGAATTTGGCTGGACATGATGGGAGAAATTTTTGGGGTTGGGAGAAAAATTTTGGATGGTAAAATGTTTTGAGGGAATTTATTATTGGCCTTTTTAAAAAAAATTCATCTACATTTAATTAGTTAAAAAAAAATTAGGGGGGAGATTTTTATGGACAACTTGACATTTGAAATTTTAGTTACATTTGATTTTTGTTATAATGAGATTTATTATTATTATTATTATAAATTATAGATAGATTATAGATTATAGATAGATAGATTAACGTTAGCTAACCAGATCAACCTAATAAAACATCAGGAAACTGAAAAGCAGTTAAACTTAAAACTTAAACAATAAGAGTAAAAATAATCAATTTAATTAATTAAATGCCTTAAACTCTACCCCACTTTTTAAATACTCCTCTTTTGTTGTTAGGCTCAAACTACTAGTACTACTGCTTGCTGTTCAGTACTAAAACCATATGTGTAATAATAATATCCGCCGTCAATTTCATCGAACGACTCTCCTCTCCCCCCAACTTTTTTGAAATTCGCCAACTCGCCGGCAACTTCTGCATTCCGGTGACTCCGATCACGTGATTCCTCGCCGGTGAGCTCTTCCCGCCGATCAATTTGTTTTCAATTTGATAAAAAAGAATTAAATATTCCGACAAAAATTTGACTACTACTAGTTTTTTATCACGTTATTATTTTTTTTATACTAAAATATTTTTTGTTTTTCGTTTCTGTGGTCGCGTTCCGCATTCCGACGTGCCAAGTGTGTGTGTGTTTTTTTTCCCATTGGTTTTTGTTTTCCAAATAAACAGCAGTGATATTCAATTTATTTCTTAATTTTTTTTTTTATTTTGGTTAATTTTTGTTTGTTCAAAGGGACTTAAAACTCTTACGCACAAACAAGTTTCTCGTTTTTCAGTCCCTGTGCTCGGTCTCTTTCTGTGTGTGTGTGTGTGTGTTTTTTTTTTTTTCCTTCCTTACAGGGACTTAGAAAAAAATCATGAATTTTGGAAGTGGGTTCAGAATTGAAATTGTGTTGAATGCAGATCGTAATTTGCTTGGTGCGATCGACCGGCCTTCCCTAACTGGAGAATTCAGATGATTTAGCTCACAGATTTTCGGCCGTACCATTGCTGTTACACTGAAGTGGGGATTTCTGTTGGACATTATTCCTCTTTTTCTTTCCTCATGGAAGATCAGTTAAGTTTTCTGAATTTAGGAGGAGATGGGTTACAGATTGTTTGATCAGTCACTTAGATTGACTTAGGAGTTCACGGGTGTGAAGGTTGCAGTACTTTGTAAAAGTCGATTTATTTATTTATTTATTTTTTAAATTTTGTTGATGTCATAGTCCTTTGTTAGTGAAAAGGAATTTAACTTTATTGTAAAAATAGAGATTCTATAGTTTTTGCTCCTTGAGAAAGAGAAAGGGAAAAAACAGAAAAGTTTAAAGTAGGAGAGCTTTTGGGGGGTTAGAGGGGTTTGGTGGAGATGTCTAAGGTGGTCTATGAGGGGTGGATGGTGCGATATGGGCGGAGGAAGATTGGAAGATCATTCATCCATATGCGATATTTTGTTCTCGAGCACCGGTTGCTCGCCTACTACAAGAAGAAGCCTCAGGACAATGTGGTAAAGCTAAATCCTTTGAATTTGAAGTTCATATGTAATTTGTTTTGCATAGCCTGCTGTTACAGTTTGTCCAGTTATGTATTCATAAAAATTTAGTTTGATTGCCTGATATAGGTTATTTTTGTGGTTTAACAGAAATGATTTTTGTATAGGTGAAACTGTGTCTGTTGTTTTACTTGGGGAGATAACATAATTTTAGCTATTTGTTTAGTAGCCTGAAATTTGATCACTTGATTAATAGGACATATTCAAAATGTAGAGGATATTTGAAATTTTCGTCCTGGTTTGTGGATGAATAGGTTCCTCTGAAGACTCTCCTTATAGATGGGAATTGTCGGGTGGAGGACCGGGGCTTGAAGACTCACCATGGACATGTAAGTATAACCTTTCTGGGTTATTTTTTTGAGAACTAATTTTTGAGTTTATCAATTTAGCAGAGGTGTATTCTGATGATCTGTTGTATATAGTGAAGTCTGTTCATTCTGTTTTATGGCAACAAATTCTTTAATGGCAAAGATTACTGATTACAGTTTTTTCTGTTATTATGCTACTACGAAATAAATCACCAATGTGGCTTCATGTGGGATGTCTAGATCAAGATGTGAAAAAAGATCAAAGTTTTAAATTTGTGGATCATGTTTTTTCCATCTGTAACTAGATCATATATCTTTTTAGATGAATCAGGGAAAATTTAATGAAGAAATGGTTCGGGCCTTTGCAGTGCTTTAGATGGACTTGACATGCAAGTAGATAAGGAAACTAAAGATTAAATCATAGAGCGTGTAGCTCCTTCATTGTAAAGTGTGCAGCCTTTCTGTGTTCTCATGTCCTTGAGGGCATCCTGTTTTAAGCAATCATATATATTGGAAAGGCCAAAGAAGTTAAAAGAAGATAAACCAAGAGGATAAAAAGCACTATGCCTTTATTTTATTGGGTATACAACTTGACAAAGAGGATTTGAATATCTATTGGATAAGCAGTTATAGGTGCTCAAGTCATATTACATCTGGAGTTTGTTTTGTATCATTCAAGTATTAGGGTAGTGTTTGTTTTAATTTAAAGCAATTCCAGTGCTCAGGGGCAACCAAATGTCATTTTGGTGGAATTTGCTGCAGAATCATGATTATACGATTCCTTAAGTTTCTGTGATGGTTTCTGGTCAATAAAACTTTGGCTATATTGATTCTACGAGTCTATTAGGTATTTAATTTGTTTTTTCTTTCTTAAATGTGGATTTGTTTTGTGTTTTGCAATAAATTGATGACCAGAAGATGGGAGTAAAAGTGACTCCTGTTCAATTGTAACCATTTTCGTTTTTATGTTTCAGAACTTGTTCTGGTTAAAAGCATGTGGACTGTTTTCTAGATCATCGCAATTGTCATTAGAAAGGTTACCAAAATAAGCACACTTTAGTTTTGGTAGTTTGATCAGATTAGAAGGTGACTAAACTCTGTTGACTTTTTATAATTGTCTGAGTGAAACTGGGAATTTTATAATATTTCGTCACTGATGTGAATGCCAAATTTTATATCTGTGTTTGGGTGTTTGTAATTTGAGATATCTTTATTTTTTCCGTCAACTAAACTATCCATTTTTCTTGTTGTCGATTTCTCGTGCTAGTCCCTAAAACTACGCTTTGTGTTGTTTCATCTCTCCTTGAGATAAGTTTGATCCCGCTGGTCTCTTCCTTTTCCTGGCTTAAAGGGGTGAAAATTTGTTGAAAAAGTTTCCCTCTTTCGCGATAAACAAGCATATTCAAACCTGATCAAGCATTTTCTTTCTATCTAAAAACTGCTTCAGTTTCTATGATATGTGCCGTTATATTCGTTTTTAAAAGAAAAGTTGTGGTTTACATGGTATTCTTGTGGTGGAAACATCCATCTCTGCTCTCTTTTTCTGATGTTTTTCTTTGTTTCCTGCAGATGGTGTATGTATTGTCAGTTTACAACAAGAAAGAGAAGCACCATAGATTAACGGTATGTACTATTGGTGTCTCTTAATCACTTTTGATGATACAACAATTGTCTGCTGCTTTCCTTCACATCTTAGATTATTTTGGTATATATTACCTGCGATTTTGAAAGAATCTACTCAAAATTGAGGATGGGAAGCCTATGAAGAACAGCGTGAATTAGGGCAGCAAATAAGTTTTTGTTTACATTGGAAGTATTGATTAGTGAGATTTGAAAATGTGATTTAAAGAATTTCTGGTGTGAAACAATGAGAAGATTTACTGAGAAACATTGATATCATAATCCTCCAAAAGTGTCTTAATGTTCTACTTGTAGACAGGTACGAATTCTGAATCTTCGATATGTTAAACACTATTGAAGAAGATAAATTGTTCTCTTGTAGTAGTGCTGATCTTTTACCACTGGTGTTTAAATTCCTTCTCCATATTTCAATTACATACTCTATTTAATTTCAAGCTCAAAGGAAGAAGGGAGACTTTGAGACATGAGAGTTCAACCTGGGACGGTTTTAGTTTCCTGTACAGCATTGTCAGTTCCCTGTTAGGATACTAAGAAACAGGGCACACATTGTTGAACAGCATTTCATCCTTACATTGTTTAGGTCAATTTGGTTTATACCCGTCAGATGCTTGGGCTGATTCTGGTTCTAGAATTATGAGGCCATGACCTGTTATTGTGTTTAAGGATGTGCGGGTGATACTTTGGTTGGAGTGGAAGATGTTGGTTTGAAAGTTCAGATGTGTTATAAGAGATTTTATGTCTTGTGTAAACTTCTTTACAACCTTGTACCCGTGGCTCAGTTTTGTGCTTTTAGATTATGTTCTGGGGAAAAATAATTTTCTTGTGTGACTAGGTAGGATTTTGATACTTTTAAAGCAATTGTATCTCTGTGGGGGGTGTCATTGAATGTGAGGACGAGGTCCTTTCTGCAACATGGGTTAAACCTTTGGTTAAGTAAGCTAAGTCACCGCACTGTACTATTTGCTATTTACTGTGGCTTGTTAGAACCCGAAACTGAATGCATTCTGGTTAGAATAACAACGCATTGATGTGAAATATGAACTTCCTGGAGACGATGGGTAATTGCTGACTAGTGAGCTAAATTTCTTATCAGTGGAGAGTGAATAGAGAAAGTAGCAAATTTACTTTCAAAAAGAAACAGAAGTTAATCAAATTGTTCTTGTATTCTTCTTTCACCATAACCAAAACCTCAAGGTAAAAATCACGCACCGAGTATCATTGCCGAAGCTATATTCTCAGGAAGTTCTGCAATTTTCCCTGCGAGGAATTTGTTGTGAGGTGGAATATTAGTGGGAAGAGAGGGTTGTTAATATAAAGTTGTTTACTTTGAGGGAAACTCTGATTTTCTATAGATTTTTCCTCTCCTGTCCAGTCACCTTTGTTCTCAAATCGAGAACAAGGCCATGTTTGTGGTTGCTTTGGTGCATTTTCTTTGGTGTGCTCAGGTGCATGAATTTTTGAAGTATTTCTATTGAACTATAAGGGAGGTATTGCTGAGAAATTGGTGTTTTTTATGATGGTATAGGAATTTAGAACCATACTGAGTCCATAAAAGTTTTTGGAAACACAAGACATTTTGCATGATTTGAGTTCTAGGTAGTACGCACCTTTCTCCGATAAGTAAATTCTCAGCCACAGCAGCATGATTCTGCTTCCTATTGTATTTCCCCTTTGTTGAATGTGACTGATTAATTTGTCATTCATACTGTCTAGATGGCAGCTTTCAACATTCAGGAGGCTCTCATTTGGAAAGAGAAAATTGAATCTGTTATTGATCAGGTATCTTAACTGTAATCTCTCTTAATATATAATATTCTATTCTTGATTTTCCTCCCTTGTTTACTAGATAGAAAATGCAATCTGTTGTTGGATAATTTCCATTTCCAGATTTATATGTCAGTTCTCTCTGTTGGCTATCCATGTGCATCATCTCAGGCTGATGATTGATAATTTTTTGGCCTGTTCTCTGTTCTTTGTTTTTGGTGTTCACTGAACAAATAGAACTAATTATGTCTCATACATTGCAGCATCAAGAGTCACAAGCTGCAAATGGTAACAAATACCACTCATTTGAATATAAATCTGGAATGGACAATGGAAGGAAATCCTCATCCTCTGATCGTGAAAGTCAGTAAGTATTTTATTTGCCTGATGTACATTCCCTCCCTCCCACCCCCCTCTCTCTCTCTCTCTCTCTCTCTCTCTCTCTCTCTCTCTTCGTTTGCTTGACCATGGTTCTGGGACATCATGTCACCTCCTCTTTGATAAAATAAGAGGGAAAAAACTTATATAAAGCTTAGGCCGTTTTGGTAATTGATGTTCTTTTTGGAATTGGAAATGACTAAACTGATGAGAAAAGTGCCCATAATTCTTGTAGAAGTGATCTCATAGTTCTCTCTGACGATGGGGCCATCATTGTGGTGGTTGTTTTTTCTACATTCGGATGTGGAGTGGTCATTAACGTCCACCTGGAAGTTGGTTTTTATTTCTTTTGATGTATACTGTGTTGGTAATAGGAGAGAGAGTATCTGTTCTGCTTTTTTGCTAGTCATTGTTGACAAATTCAGATGATTTACTTCAACTGGGTTGAAAAGGGAAAAGCAGATTATGCATGTCTAATCTAGTCAACTTTCAAGGACCTGTATGGACTCTCTTAACCCAAATTAAATGTACCAGGATTTACTTCATTTTAGTCATAATTACAACTGTAATATCAATTATGTTTATGAACAGAAAAAAGGGCGGTTCATTAAGAGTTTTATATGTTAGTCCAACAAAGAATTGGTTTTCTGGGTTACTCTCATCAACAACAAATTTGATCCAAGGTCGCCTTTATACATTTTGAGGGAATACAGATTCTGCCAGTTATTATGGATGTAAAAGTACATTAGAATGGATGGGGGAAAATGCAAAAGGACTTTGGAAAGAAACTTTTTAGAAATGATTTATTTCAATTCAAATGAAATTTTGTTCTTACTGAGCGCTATGACGACATTTGATTTATCTAGTTTGATCCCGCCCAGTAGAATAAAAGCCTAGTTATCACTGTGAACATTTTGCTCTGAATGTAAGCCAATCAGTATGTTGACATTATTCAAACAGGAGCAGCGTGCTGTCTATTATTGTCATGCTTTGCCTTGACAGTATCCATTCATTAAAGATTGTTTTACAAGATTTAATATTTTATTGTACATTTTTCAGCTCAAAATCACTTCTCCCACCTAACCACAGCTTCTAATGGACACAGGTTCAGTGCCGCTGAGGATGAAGATGATAACCATCCAAATTTGTTGAGAAGAACAACCATTGGAAATGGTAATCTTTAGCATCCATCAGATTCAAAGCTCCTTCAGAGGATCACACTAATTTCTACTCCATGTTGCTTATGGCAGGTCCCCCGGAATCTATATTGGACTGGACAAAGGAAATTAATGCTGACCTGGGGAACCAAAACATACAAAATCAGGCTTTTTCTAGGAAGCACTGGCGCTTGCTTCAATGTCAAAATGGTTTGGCAAAGTTCCTCTACTTGACTTGTTCTTACCGGTTGTGAAGGCACACTAGAATTTCTAGGTGGTTGTCAGCATTTAAACTGAAGAAGATCGATATTATATGATTTTCTAACGACTTTGACTGTAAATGACTGCAGGACTTCGCATTTTTGAAGAGCTGGTTGAAGTAGATTTTCTTGTATGTTTTCTTGCATTGACGAAAATGATTTAGCATGTGTTTCGATGGAATAGAAACTGTTCTTCATACAAATTTCTCTTCTGTAGCCAAAAAGCTGTAGTAGAGCTATGAAAGCTGTTGGGGTGGTGGACGCTACTTGTGAAGAGACATTTGAGCTTTTAATGAGTATGGATGCTTCGCGATTTGAGTAAGCACTTGGGTGGTTCTGTATTTAGTACACCTGCAGTAATTACCATTTTTGTTTCATCATCTGTCTTATGCTGTTAGTTCTGCTATCTTTTGTTGCTAAATTAACTTTAACCTTTTGGCCTATATCATCATTTACCACTACCATAAAATCACTAGTTTACCGAAAAAAAGAAGAAAAAATCACTAGTAAGAAGCATGTGCAGTATAAGTTCTGAGGCAAACTGATGATATTACCTGTGTTTGATTGTGTAATACCTTTAGAGTTTATTAATATTTCTTTATATTTTTAAACTCAAACGATTATGTGGCCGAGGATTTGGATTTATTACATGCCTGAGGATCACTTAATTACTCAAATGGTCTTAACTTTTTCAAATGGAAAAAGTGCGATAAAAAAAACTTGTAAAGTTATAGGGTAATACCTGCATTAAGTCTCATTACGCAACACTTGTTAATAGTTACTTATGGCAACCAATTGATGGAGATCTTTGTTATTAAATTTAGAAAAGAATTTGGGACAATGCTACAAAAGACTTACTAGGATATATGGTGTTGATGCTGGGAAGTAAGCGCGATTTACTTGAAATTGCTCTTTTAATTTTTTGGCTTTGGAGAAGATAAAAGATTTCTCCAAAAATAAAGGAAAAACAATTGCATTAGCTTGTCATCTTTCTTTAAGGAATATCTTTGGTCCATAGCTTATGTTGATGATTAATTTTGTTTCCTTCTTTGTTTCTGGACCTTCTCTTTTTTTTTTTTTGGATCCTTTGCTTTCGCATTGGTATTGCTGTTAGGTGCTTTAGCATATCTTGACAATTACTGCAGGTGGGACTCCACTTTCCAGTATGGTAGCCTGGTAGAGGAGGTAGATGGGCATACAGCTGTACTATATCACAGACTGCAGTTAGATTGGTTGCCAATGTAATGTTCCTGTTAAGATATGAAATTGCCTCTCTAATTTCTCTTTTCTGGGCTTTTGTTCATTTTCATCCTTTCGAATCGGATGGGCATTGGTATGGCAATTTTTCAACTAGGTTTTAATTGCAGAATTAAGTTGATCGTTTTTATTTTCTTAAAAAAGAAAAACTATTTTTTAACTTTTTGGTTTAAACTGTTTTTGTTGGGAGTGGTCTTTCTTGTTGCATTTTGTACTCTTCTAATGTTTGAAGTATCATTGATACTGTACTTGCAAACTAAAAGATCTCAGATACAATGTGCAATTTCGCCTCTATTTCTGAAGAATATCAAGGGTGTTTATTTCAACTTTATAACTTTCGCTTCCTTGAGTGATTGACTGTAGATAACATTGAACTCAAATGAGCGAATTCCAAGAAAAGGGTTTTCGTGATTATAAAAGAAAAAGAAGAAATGTACATAATAGAGGGACATGACTTAGGCACAGAGAGCAGGAAATAAGCTTGATGTCTTTCAGATTACATGCTTGGTCTTTGTTTTTGTGGCTACTTTAGATAGTAGTAATGCCAAACACACATATTGACCACAAATGTTATTCAATTATTCAGGAATATTTTCCACATCTGGTGAAACCTTTTGCAATTATTACTGACGCATACAGCTATATTTTTTTAAGATAATTATAATAATAGTATTTGGGAATTGGGTAACTTATGACTTGGAAACAGTTGGTTTTGGAATTTTCCTTCTTGGTTAAGGGAACTATAGAGTTCTTTTTTATGGCTAGTATCAAGGACTGTTCCGTTGTTTGTCTCTGAAAATGAACTTCCTTTCTAAAATTTCTTTTTTCCCCATACTTTCACCTCAATGCGAATTCTATTTTCTGTTATTACAGTTTAATATGGCCTCGTGACCTCTGTTATGTTCGTTACTGGCGTCGAAATGATGATGGAAGCTACGGTAACTAACTTGAAGACTTGGGCATTTTCTTCTTCTTCTTCCCTTTTTTTTTTTTTTTTGGTTTTACCGGGTTTCTCAAATGGTCCTTCTGTGCAGTTGTGTTATTCCGTTCGAGAGAGCATGAGAATTGTGGCCCACAGCCAGGGTTCGTTCGAGCTCATATAGAAAGTAAATTTTCATTTTTATGCTGTTTTTTCTATGCCATGGATTGAATTCATTATTAAGGTTTTCAATAGGTGTGTGCTTGTGACATATGAAAAATTAACACCATATTCTTTCCTTTTTGGCAACTTGTGACACGTTCTCCCTAATATATATTGTTTTCCCAGGTGGAGGGTTTAATATTTCTCCACTGAAACCTCGTCATGGAAGGCCCAGAACACAAGTGCAGCATCTCATGCAAATTGACCTCAAAGGCTGGGGTTTGAATTATGTTTCTTACTTTCAGCAGCAATGTCTACTACAAATGTTAAATAGTGTTGCAGGTGAGCTGTATCCCTATCTTCTCTTCTACTAATATATTGTTTTAATTCATTATTTGATTGTTCAAAATCTCTAGTAGCCTTGATACTAACTCTTTCTCGCACACTATTCTAAATGATTGATAATTGATACATAACTTGCTGAAAGCTTGAATTTTGAAATGATGCATGTTCACAAAAACGTTGTTTATTTGATTGTTTCTCGTTCCAGCTCGTTTATCAGAAGTTGTCTTTTATATGTGATTAGATAATTCCTTCCACATAATGGGTTGATTGATAAAAACTTGTATTTAATTACCAGGTGGATTAGAACGAGACTTAAAGTACTGCAAAATTGAGAGAATTTTTTTTTAATAAAATACTTGAATCAGAGTGATGGCACACTCAATATGAAAATAAACAAGAAAAATGAAGCAGAAATGAGAATGGTGAGATGGATGTGTCGGTTCACTAGATTAGGTAACTGTGGTGATGAAGTTATTTTACAAAAAGTGGGGGAAGAAGAGAATCATTCTTAAGATGGTTTACACAAGTACCTAGATATAAGCTTATGCTAGTATTGTGACTAGAAATGGGATCACCTACTCAAATTCAAAGGGTTAGAGGAAGAACTACTACAAATTAAAAGAACATATTGCAAAGACATATTTAAAGATAAATTAGAACATGTGAATAGACAAAGTGTGATAAGATGTAGCTGTATGGCCGACCCTGATGTTGATCGAAAACCTTATTTGATTAGGGAGTTCTTATCTTCACTAAGACATGATTGTTTTTAATTTTACTTCAGGATTGCGTGAATATTTTTCTCAAACTGATGAACGGCCAGCTGCACCAAGGATTCCTGTTATGGTCAACATGACATCAGCTTCAGTTTCTAACAAGAAGAGTGAAAAACTCTATGGCTCCTCTGTTCATAAACGTAGTATGTCTGTCGATCAAATAGGTTCTTCGAATAAAAATGGTTTAATGATGGATGATGACTCGGATGAGGAGGAAGATTTTCAAGTACCTGAACAAGAGGTACCAGGTCAAGAGGTATCTATTGTACAATTTTGTACAAATAAGAATACCATTTCCCCAAAGATAATTATTGATCATTTTGCAGGAGCTTCCATCAAGCAGTACAAGCCCTGATGAAGTGAAGAAATCTGGTGAGTACTATTTGTACATTCCTTTTGATCTAGTATCATATCCTTCTACTGATCATAATGTCTAAACAAAAGCCACTATGATACTGCTTTTACAGTTGGTGAAGCTCCTATGGAAGAAGTGGTGGATGACATTGATTTTTCCATTTTTTCGGGTAACCTGCGACGAGATGACCATGACAAAGCTCGAAACTGCTGGAGTATATCTTCTGGAGATAATTTTAGAGTTCGCGGCAAAAACTTTTGCATGGACAAATCCAAAGTTCGTAACTTTTTCCTCCCGACTCACATTGTTGGTTTTGCATAGGACTTTTTCATTACCTTGGGTCATGGGGTTCATTTTTGTTTTTGTTCTACAAATTAAGATCTCAGCTGGAAAACATCTTATGGATCTAGTGGCTGTTGACTGGTTCAAAGATTCGAGGCGGATGGATCATGTTGCTAGGCGGCAGGGATGTGCAGCACAAGTAAGATTCAGGAAAAACTTCTTATTCAGTATGAACCTTTTCTTAACTGCAATGTGGACTATAGAGTTAAAGTTGCCTGCCTGTTAATAATGACTTCTGGATGCATCTCCAGCCATATGTAGATGTGGTATTCTTGACTCTTGAGTTTGTTGGATGTTAGCCACTTTGTTTGCAAGCTGTATATGCCTTTTTCATGTAGTTTTATCTCCCATTGAATTGGTATCGAATGGAAAAATGGTCATTGATCCAATATCTTTGGGTAAACCACTTTTATTTTGATGATACATCTTTTTTCTTTTTGGATGGTCTATACTTTGATGGCCTTATGGGCAAATTAAATTAGCTAGTGTGATAATTGTATTAAGATTGAAGTCTGGTTGGCCCCACCAAAAGTTGACAAATGAGAGCACCACCCTTATGTTGGGTAATACATGAGTTTGGGAGACATTTAGTTGGACCTGCATGATGCTCAAAAATCAGAATGTTATTAGCTAATTAGCTTAATTAAAATGGCAAGAAAAAAACCTGTAAGAACTTGGAAAGGAACTTTGAGAAAGACGTGAAATATCTAAACTAAATGGACCATTGTGCCATTGTCGAATTTGATGGGGAGATCATCCGTGTAGCCGGTCTTGTATGGTAGGATAAAAATTTATTATTGTTGATTATTCCATATGCACCCTTGTTCATGACTCCATAATTCATTTCGTAGGTTGCCTCAGATAAAGGACTTTTCTCGTTGGTTGTAAATGTGCAAGTAAGTTGTTCATTAGTCAATTTAAACTTTCATATTCCAGCTTGTGTAGGTTTCTTATAGAAAGTGACTTTTTCTTTTGAAGGTGCCTGGATCAACACACTACAGCATGGTTTTCTATTTTGTGACGAAGGAATTAACTCCTGGATCTCTTCTACAACGTTTTGTTGATGGGGATGATGAGTTTCGAAATAGTAGACTAAAGCTTATTCCGTCTGTCCCCAAGGTATGTATCCTTAATAATGTCCTTTCTCGTCCATTTAATGTGAACATTAAAGACAGCCACACCATTGAACCTACCACGTAGAATTCTTAGGAAGTTTCATCTGTTAGATTGCTGGCCTTTCCAATGAGGGGTTCTGTGAAGTGTTAAATCTCTATGATAAAACAAAAGTTTGAACTTCCATTTCAAACGATTAAGCCCCAGCCCCATGTTTTTCAAAACCATTATGGGACTACTTAAAACCAAAACCCGTGAAGTTATGAAATTGTGAACTACTGAATTTTGAACTGTATTTTGTTGTTTTTTAAAATTCTCTTCAATGCTATTTATAATGGTTTTTCATGTTTCCAAAATTATCTACCTACAAAAGCATAAAACTTTTTCCTGGATGGGATGGAACCTTCCAAGTAAATTTTGTTTCACTGCTCTGTTCTTGTCCTTAAAAGAATTTCTTCAATCCTTAGGGTTCATGGATTGTGCGTCAAAGTGTGGGAAGTACCCCTTGTTTACTTGGGAAAGCCGTTGATTGCAATTATATCCGAGGCAATAGATATCTGGAGGTAAAATTCGTGTTCCTTCTTCTTAGTCACATAAATTCATACGTGCTGGTTAGTTCCGCAAATTTGCTTATGTGGGACGAAGAAGATTTCATTGAATTGCTAATTAAATTTCATATTTGCAGATTGACATTGATATTGGTTCATCTGCTGTCGCAAATGGAGTTTTGGGGCTTGTGATTGGAGTAATTACAACCTTAGTTGTTGACATGGCATTTCTTGTACAGGTAATCTTTATCTTCTTCTTCCTTTTTTTTTTTTTTTTTTTTTTTCTGACAAGTCTTTGATTTAACTTGATATCTGGAAACATTAACAAGGATCGTGTGTTAACTTAGGCAAATACCCCGGATGAATTACCAGAGCGGCTTATAGGAGCTGTTCGCGTTTCTCATATTGAATTGTCGTCAGCTATCGTACCAAAGCTGGATACAGATCAATCCGATTCACTTGCATTGTGAGACTCCCTTGTGGTACAAAAATTATTCTTTAAACTTGAATCAAATGGTTCGTTAGAAACTCTTATTGATATAATCCTTTTGTGATATATAGTTTTTCCATATTGGTTAAATCTCTTTTTGGAGAAGTAATCAACATGTATTCTTTACTTGGCCTCCTATATCCATTATTAAGCCAACCATTCTTTACAGCGGGACAATTTTGTGATTATACTTTTAAGTCTATGGGGGGAAATTGTACCTTTCCTTGGACGAGGTCTTTGTTTTTCTTGTTTTTTACTCCCTTCGTCCCACAAGAAATGGTGTAGTTTGATGGAGAAATTGGCTATCCTATCCAAAACTTTTCAGACGTTGTCAATCTTACCTTAAAGTTTTTTTTAGATAACCTATTTTGTCCATATTGTATGAAATTTTTGCGGATTTCATAAGATTGACAATTTCTATCTAACTTAATGGATTTTTATCAGTCTTTCAGTAAAATAAGAAATTAATCTCAAAATTTTTTCAATATAGTATCGGACAATTATATAAGTAACAAGATAATTCCATTTTACTTTTTACTTTTTTTTTCTATATAATTTTATTTCTCTTTACTAAATTTTCATAACAATAAAATAAAATATATGATTTTTAAAGAAATATTGGTTTGACTCTATCATAAAAATTAATCTATGTATTTTTGTAGCTCATGATAGTATTTATATTAAAATATTAATTTTCTTTTAATAATATAGTTTAGCTCATGATAGTGTAAATTTTAAGGTAAAAAATTGGTTATATAATATAGTTTAGCTCATGATAGTGTAAATTTTAAGGTAAAAAATTGGTTATATAAAAAATTTTAAAGTAACATTGACGATGTCTGGAAAACTTTGAATACAACCGCCAATTTTTTCTTTTGTTTGACCTATGACTATTTTAATCGGACGGTTATTTCCGAGACTTCCTACAAAGGTCAACGTTGTACTTTAAACAGTTGTTCTCAATAAAATATCTACCGAAGATGTACTGCAGAAAATTTGATATGAGATTTCTTCCCAGAAGTAACTACTACTTGATACACATTTGATTCAGTCTGTCGATGAGGTGAAAGGAAGGACTTTTACAGAATGTAGAACAAAGTGGAGTGCCTAATCCCCCTTTAGTAAAGTTTATGGATTGGTATATTCTCTGCTTTGGTTTCATGTATCTTTGGGGAATATTATGAAGACCTAATTGCCAGCCATGGTCTGAACAAATGACTTCAAACCAGCATCGGAACTTGATGGAAAACCAATAATGAATCTTTGACTCAACTCCCCTGCTTCCTTAGCTACATCTTTATCATCCAACAGAGATTCAATTCCATGCAAAATACTTTTCTTCTTCACCGTTTGTGTTGGATCATCGTCATGTTTCCATAGTGAATGGCCAACCCTCAAATGGTCGACCACCAGTTTGGCATTCTGAAATTGGTCACCCCGAATTGGCCATGCCAAAATCGGAACTCCCTTCCCCATAGATTCCACCGTAGAATTCCATCCACAATGCGATAAGAACCCACCAACTGAAGGGTGGCTTAGTGTAAGCAGCTGAGGTGCCCAACCTCTTATTATCAATCCCCTGTCACCGGTCTTCTCTTTCAGGCCATGCGGATAGTAACCTTTCTCCTTGGTTTCGAAACTGGAATTTTCTGCCATTAAACCCGGTGGGGGACCGGATCTTCCTGCATTCGGTTGAATCACCCATATGAATGGCCGGCTCGATTCTTCCAGTGCATTGGCTAATTCTTCATATTCCTCCAAACTTGGACCTACTTCACTGCCGAATGAAATGTAAATTACTGACCGGGGTGTCCTTTAATCCAACCATTGCATCACTTGTTCTTCTGTGTAATCTGATTCCCGGTTTGATCTAACTTGGCCGTCGGGTAGAATGGAATTGGTCGATTTCCAATATTTCTCGGGTAAAAGCGGCCCTATACCATAGACCGGTTTGTTAATCTGAGCAGCTACATAATTGAGAAATGGAAGTTCTAAACCCTCGCAAGTGTTGAATAACAATCCGGTGGAACCCTCGATTTCGTCCAGCCATCTCGGTCGATCACTCGGTTCGGGGCGACCAAATTTTGCATTTGGCCCACCAAAGGGGTGATTGTTCGGATTATTAGTTGCGTGCTTGTGTCGCCGGAAAGGCTGTTCCCTCTGGACATCGGAATAACTTAGCTCCATGTCCTGCGGCAACCCGGGAAATCTCCGGATGTCTCCCGGCTTCATCTCCTCCGCCGCATGATGTTTCCAACTTGCATACTGCATTGCGGCGGAAGAGGCACCAGACGTGAAGAAAGAAACAATCTGTATACCAAACTTGGCGAAGAATTCTTTGCTCCAGCTCATCATCACATCAACAACAGCACAAACGGGTCGATCCCGGGTCGGTTCCGGGCATCTTTCGGAAAGGTAAGCCTCAAGTCCAGTCCCCATCTTATGATGATGCTTGTGAAATGGGTTCGGTCCGGGTGGTCGCCCCATGATCATATCTGGTTGAGGAAGTGGTGGAGTGATCGTTTCTGGCGGCGGCGACGCCGGAGCATCGGGAAGTTCAACTATTTCAATTAAGGAAAGGCCGCGGAGGGAGGAGGGAACGGAGGAGGAAAGATTAGACGGGATGATGAGGGTGGCTTTGCAGTTATGATCCGATGCTAAGCGTTTACATAATTCAATACATGGGAAGAGATGCCCTTGTCCAAAAAATGGCACCACCAAAATTTCACCCAAAACTTCCATGTTTGCCTTTCCTGAAGAACTCTAATTATATGACTTCATTTGATCGCGAAAAGAATGCATTTATTTATAGAGAAAAATGGGAATTTGGGAGACCCCGTGAGAGTCTTGGAGCTGAAGGAAAAAACACTAGTGAAAAAATTGATCGGAAAGGGACTTCAGGCAAAAGAGAATGAGAAAGTCAACCAGAATTTATTGCTAACACGGTACGCGGGAAGGTTTCGTGACCCGCAAGTGGAACAGAAAGTGATCGGCTTTGAATTGAAGTGTGAACTGGCAAAATAAGTCTTTTCTTTTTCTTTTTGGGTAAGGAACAAGAAGCAAAGGACAAGGATCAGATGAGAAACGAAAATTGTCTAGGTTTTTGTATTTTGGACATTTGGAAGAATGAAAGGAAAGTTTATCCGAAGTAATTAGGACAATGATCTTTCAATACGGTGACGGTTAGCAAGTGTATAAACTATAAACCACTACATTCATTTTAAAATATACATATGTCATTTTAGGATTTATAAAATTCTTTAAAATATGTCGTTCTAAGAAACTGAGATAATTTTTATTTTGCTTTTTCAATACTATAGTTGTATTGGAAATGAAATATTAGCAGTATCTCTTTTTCACAATGCAAGTCTATTTTGAGTGGCACAATTATTAGAATTTAATAATTAACAACGAAAAAAGTTCATTTTAACCTTAATTAATAAGGCCAACTACTAGCTAATTCAAACAAGACAAAAATAATTTAGGCAAAATAAACAAAATTATGCTTTGAGATACAAAGTGAACTTATATATATAGTAACGCGAGGAACTCCGCTAGAGATGAATAAATTCACACCCACTACAATAGTTTGCAAACCACAGTGGAAGGTAAACCATCATATGCAAGTCCTGAGTGACAAGCTTGGGTACGGAATCAGGAATTCATGTGTGGGTACTGTAAGAATTAAACAAGCTTGAATAATGTTTTCAGCCTGATGAGGTTGTATTATATAGAGTTTGTAATACATGATAAGTACAATAGAGATAAGTCTCTTGGAGAGATAAATACATAAATAATTTCAAAATAATTATCTCTAACTAACTTGATAAACACAAGTAGGTTATCTCTAACATTTCCCCTCAATCAGAATGTGAAGATTCCTGCACGTGAAGATTGCTCCGTAAAGTCTTAAATCGATGTGAAGCCAAACCCTTGGTAAAGACATCAGCAGTCTGTTGGAGCGTAGGAATGAACCGGACATGGAGAAAACCTGCTGCCACCCTTTCACGTACAAAATTTATGTCAATTTCAAGATGTTTGGTATGAGAGTGATACAATGGGTTGACAGTAAGGTAGATGGCACTGATATTATCACATAGAAGTAAAGGTGGATCATGCAGCACAACATGAAAGTCCTTAAGTAAATTTTGAATCCATAGTAACTCAGCAACTGTATGAGCAAGAGCTCTGTATTCCGCTTCTGTACTCGATCTAGACACAGTTGGCTGCATAAATTTTTTAAAGTTTTGAAAAACATATTCATGATTGATCTTGTTGAATAGATCTCGTCGAGTACTATCAAAATGATATAAGACACTTGGTCTAGCTCATTACGGATTAAGAAATAAAATCATTTGAAGATAAAAGAAATTTTTAAACATACTTCCTAAAATTAAGGGGAAGTGACTCATGCATTGAAAAGAAAAAAGAACATGAAATCCCTTCGTTATTGAATAATAAAAAAAAAGTCTAAGTGTACCTACTTAGATGCACTTAATGTGCATAGTATAATAACTCTTGTTTTATCTTTAATTGAACAGACTATGACTTTAGTCTGTAGGAAGTATAAAGAGATAATTTTCGGGCGGATAGAAAAAAAACAATTCTGAACGTAGAAGAAACATTCATCACCCTAAATGAATTTTATTCATGCCAAACTTGCACTCACTTTATTAATTTTGCAATATCTCCACTCCGTTAAACAATTTTTTCCCAAATTTAAATAGGGATGTTCTTTTCCTTTACATGAACAACGTCGGACAAACATTTGGAAAATGTAACGTGGGACTTTCTCTGTAGAAGAAGAAATAATGTAAAGATGTGTAATATCAAAGGAAATGCTATTGGACTTCACTCTGTGAATTTTATTCATGCCAAACTTACACTTTTCTTTAAAGTTGCTTTCGCAATTAATCTAGATGGAGTCCGATAGATATTTTTCTGGTTATAAATCTTTTCTAACATGTCAGCATCTGGCCATGACATCAACACAGAGCCGGAAGGGCAAAAAAAAAAAAAAAAGAAAAAAAAGTGTTACGATTTAGTATCTATATATTCCTATTAGCTTTTGTAATGCTACAGTTCTGTGTTAGGAGATGTATAGAAGATAGCTTTATAGTTTTTTGTTTTTTTTTTTTTGAGTGGGATCGAGCTAGTTAGTGGATTTAGTTTGTGCATGGGTGAATTTGCAAAGTATTACAAAGTTTTAGTTTTTGTTTATAAGCGAAAATTGTCATTAATCGAAAACATTATTTTCTTTCATGAATCCAAATTATAGTTATACTTGCCAAATTATTTAGAAGTCTCATCAACCAGGGGAATCAATTAGATATCAATGACCATTCATATAAAAATACATGTAATCATTGGATCATTAAGGTGACTATAATTTATGGTTCCCTGTTCTAAAAAGTACCATTTTTGTACTTAAAAAATAGTTCACATTAAATTTTGAGTTTCGTGTTGGTGTACATAAAATTTTTATTATTTCTAATGAAATTCACTGATTACAACATGAATTATTATTTTTATTCCCGGAAAAGGAAGAAGGTTACACTTAATAATTGAGAGAGAAACCCTTGAAAGCTTCAATAGAAGCCAGAGAACTAGACGGAAAACCATGACTGAAAGCTTCATTGCGCAGTTCCGCGGCTCTTGTACGCAATCCTTCATCACCCATCAGCATTTCAATCCCTTCAATAATCTCATTTTTGGTAACCATTCTTCCAGATTTCGATACCAAAATCCCGATTCGAAAGTGGCCCTGAATGCACTTTGCATTGTAGAACTGATCACCCTTGATGGGCCAGGCTAACATCGGAATCCCACGCCCAATCGCCTCCATTGTGGAGCTCCAACCACAGTGCGTCAAGAACCCACCAACGGCCTGATGATTCAGGATCGACAACTGCGGAGCCCAGCCCTGAATGATTAAACCTCTGTCACCAACTTTTCGATCCAGCCCATGAGGGTAATACTCAAAAAGCACTTGTGAATTCCCGGATTGAAGAACCCAGATGAAGGAATATCGCGGGTTCAGTTCTTCCACGGCTTTTGCTAACTCTTCAAGCTCTTCCAATTCAGGGGTCAGGTAAGTCCCAAAGGAGATGTAAAGCACAGAGCATTTCGGTTTGGTATCTAACCATTTCAGGATGTAAGATTCAGAGTAGTTTGATTTGGAACTGGGCCTGAGTTTTGTGGAATTCAAATGGGTTTCTTCTTGATCAGTACTTCCGGTCCAACTCCTCCAATATTCCCCGGGGAGTAATGGCCCAACAGCCCACGCCGGAACACCGATTTGGTCGGAAATGTAGGAAATGAAAGGTCTTTCGAGTTCTTCACATGTGTTTATGAGAAAAGCAACGGCTCCTTTTGTGTCTTCTACCCATGGCGGTTCATCTCCCGGTTGAGTCGGCATCGATTTTTTCTTCTCTTTCTTCTTTATCTCCCTTGAATCAACTGATGATGATGGTGTTCCGGGCCCGTCATGATTCCCCCGAGTGAGGTCGGAATAACGAAACGCCATGCACTCCGGCAAGCCCGGAAGGATGCGGGTCTCGCCGGGGTTCAGGTCCTCCACGTCGGACTTCCAGGCGGCGTGTTCGAGGGCCATACTCGCAGCGCCACAGGTGAAAATCGCCACCACGGGAGCGCCGAATCTCGTGAACGCGGATTTAGCCGCCGGCATCATCATGCTGTCTAACAGGGCAAAGCACGGGAGTTTCCAATCCTGGGGATTACGAGATTCCAGCATAGACTCGATGAAGTTGCCCATTTGGTGGAAATAGATCTCCAGATGGTTTGGACCGGATTTCGTCGATTTGGTCGGAGGCGGGGGTAAGGGGTGCGGACACTCGGCCACCAGGAAAAGTTGGTTTTTGAGAAGAAATTCCGGTACTCCGGGAATTAGTTCCGAGGAGATGATCAAAGTGGTTTTGTAGTTTACGGAACAGAGTAGCCTGCAGAGCTCAATGCAAGGATAAACATGGCTGCTCACGATGAATGGAACTACAAAAATCTCTCCAACTGGTTTCATTTTTTTATTTAATTATTATTATTTTTTTTCGTTCTGACTAAAAGTCGTGGTTCTTTTTGTAGATAAAGTTTGAGACTTTAAGCTGTGTGAATAGACATAAAGCGTAAAAAACAACCACAAAATAGAAAGGTACCATGGAATGAATGGATGACCGGCCCATTCACAAGGAGGTAGGTAGCGAGAAGTGAATGATCTCTGATGTGAAACAACTTCGTGCATACTCAAATTATTATGGAGATTAAAAAATCCGACATATGAAACTTAATTCAATCTATTATGGAGATTAAAAACCCACATGGTAACTTAATTCCATTGTAATAATACACGAGTTAGGTCTATGTACAGCTTTGTACCGTGCAAAACATAAATCATAAATGCATCTTTTACATCTTCACTTACCTGATTCCCCTTTTTCTATTGTTAAATTTCATCTCACTGAGGCTGAGCGAGATAACCTCGGTCCCAAAATAATTGAACAAAATATAAACGTCCAAACTAAATAATCGCATCGGAGTGGACAGAAGAGTAACACCAAACAAATTGTGGGCTAGTAATTAACTGTTTTCAAAAACTTTCGTACTAAAAATGAACTGAAAAAACCTTTTATCAAGGAAGCATTTGTTTTTGGCTGACCTTACGGCGCCTTATGGTTTGCTTACTATCCCGGTGCATTATTAGCCTAATGGTTTCGATAAAAATTATAAAATAACAGACTTAACTAAGTTCTTGGGAAAGATTTTTGTCGGCAAAACGTGCCATGTATAGTTTTGTATCGTACAAAAACATATATGTATTTGATATATATGTTTGGACCGTAGGTGTAGTTCCTAGGTCTTATGAAATTCCCTTCAGTGAACGTTTCACCAAACTTCGGATCGGACCCACACAAGGGTACAACGTTGTGAGATATAAATTGTAATAATCATTCAACTAATAATGCAACTCATGGGACCACAAATTTCATTTTCACGTCAAAATCATTACACATATGAATCATTGAAGAAAATCATTACTCTGTGAACATTATAAAATTTCTCCTATTTAACGACACGGCCGATATATATCTTTATCAAAAATTTATCTCAAAGGATAATAATATGTTGCAAATATTTGTTAATGATCATTTGATCTTACAACATTAATGCAAATATTTTAAGTTATGAACTAATTCTTGTCTGGTCAATCATTTTTTAACAATGATTGTTTAAAATAACATGTTAACATGTGTAAATTTTGTTGGGATCATTCTTTCCTAGTCCAGTACTTTTCAAGCCAATACATAAGGTCCAAATGAGATTCCACTCTAAAACCAATTGGTAATAAAGGGAATAAATAGAGGGAGTAACCGACTAGGCTTATATATTGAGTTTGAAGTTCTTCCACCACTGGTATGGGATTGAGTTTGCACCCAACAAACCTCCCTTCAAACACAAGACCACACACTTGGCCCTTCCCTTCAACGACAATCTAACTTGTACCGCAGCTATCACCCGCGGAAAATACCGCCTGACCCACCATTGTCAGGAAGATTTTCGACACAAGGCCCGCAACTAGGCACCGGCTCTATTCCTTGAGCCCATAAGTCGTTGCAAGGTCAAACTGGAAGAACACGCTACGCTATCCGCACATCTACTAGGCTAAAACCGTGGCTCTGATACCAGTTGTTGGGATCCTTCTTCCATAGCCCAGTACTCCTCAAGCCCAATACACAAAGCCCAAATGAGATTCTACTCTAAAACCAGTCGATAATAGAAGGAGTAACGCACTAAACTTATTTATTGAGTTTGGAGTTCTCTCACCACCAACGTGGGATTGGGTTTGCACCCAACAAATTTTTTTGACAATTAATAGTAAAAAGTAATGCCATTTGTTTAAGAAATAGTTCATTTATTTTTATAGTACAAGTTGTCTATTTTTTGTTTTTTCACACGAAGGGAGTATATTTTTTATAAAGAAAAACATAAACTGGTTTCATTAATATGCAATGACCAAATTATATTACAATGCATGCATTAGTCCATGGGCTCACTTCGTCATGAAATTATTGTTTAATTTGAATTTTTATTTTTAGTACAAAAAGAACTAAAAGTAAAATTCTAAATTTAATAATAATTTTAGAATAGATAAAGCATGAAATTTCTATTAAATTTTCTCAATCTACTTAAACAATTTTGATTTTGAGGTTCACGATATGAGCCTGAATCATTCCTGAAGTACATAACACATTGATTCCAAATCCGGTAAATCTTTAACCAAACAATAAAAAATAAAAATCCGGCAAATCTGATAATTGATTTAAGCAATAACAAATTTCGCAAATCCTATAATTGATCATGAATATATGCATTCATATGAAATTCCAATAAATAAAGGATAATTATGTAAATTAAGGGAACAATTATTTAACAATATTAAATATCTTTTTTTACTTCTTATTATATGCAGTGGTATAAATAAGACTAAATGAAAAAAATTTGACACGATTTATTGAAGTTAAGATTGGAACATTAAAATAAAATAAAATCAATGCTTACGAATTCATGTATTGGGATTAATGAATGGGATTTTCCGATTTCCAAAAATCACCACCACCACCAACCCCAAAATTAAGGGATGCATAAGTAGCTTACGCTCTTCTATAAATACAGATGGAACCAATTTGCAATATACACGTTCTCAACCTTTCTTTCACCTGTATATTCATATTCTTTTTTTCTTTTTTTTTCAATCTCGATCGATCCTTTGAACTTGAATATAAGAATCAATTAAAGCTTTTTCTATGGGGTGACTCAATTTCCATTTCATATGCTCAATTTTCATTTCCTATGCTCCACTATCCTATGTTTCCTTTTGTTAAAATTTGAGCCATCAAAATTGAAGACATAAAATGTGTTTATAGGATAAGTAACATGTTAACATATTTTAAAATTGTTTTTACTCCTTTCGTCATAAAATTATTGTTAAATTTAAATTTTTATTTTTAGTATAAATTGAATTAAAAATAAAAATTTAAATTAGAAAAATAATTTTCGAATAAAGAACATATTAAAATAAATTAAAAAAATTAAGAGAAGCGCCGAAGGATATCATGACGACTTTGATCCCTCCCATCGAAGGACATTAAGGTCCAGAAAGCAGAAAGAGAAGCGCTGGAAAGGAGAAGCGTCACTTATGAATGAATTTTTTTGTTTCTTTTAATTTAATCTCACCCGCCCGCCCTCTCTTTCTCTCTTTTTGGGTTTTTTAATTGCTGCATAATTACACTGCACTGAGTGCATGTTTATTTAGAAGATTTTGACGTGTATGTAAGCTTAGATGATGTTATTAAAACACTTGATGTTCTGTCTCAAAACTAATTGATAATTAGAGAAGTAATTAAATATTTTATATTTAATTAGAATTGTTAACGAATACCAATATGGGACAAATTTTAACACCCCTGCAAACATTACTTGGGTCAAAACCAAGTCAATGTTTGCAAGAGCAGGCAAACCAAGTCAAGTATATTACTAGCTCAAAACTTTTGGTTTTACGATTGATTTCAGGTTTTACTTGCACATTTAATGCGTGCGTACTCCTTTCTCTACTACATTTCAATTTTTATTTTATTTTTTTGATAATTACTACATTTCATTTATAATACTATGTGCTGCAAGTATATTTTACTTATTTATATACAAGGATTTTCTTTTTCTTTCCCTTAGCGGTCTACTATTTTTCAGACGAAATGGACGAAAAATATTCAAATATAAATATTCGCCATCCTGGTGTAAACACCTTCATCAATTTCATATTCTTATTTTATGATTCAACATTTGAATATTAGACATTATTATTAGTATATTTATTTTATTTTGTAATTATCAAAACATGTCTCTTTGGGAGGCTGGGAGAGCATCAATAGGAACATTAGAAAATTTTCCACTAACCCTATGGAGCAGCTATGTGCAGCCAATTCCCAACAAACCATCCATTATTTTAATTTATAACTATCTCTAGATAAAGGAAAAAGAAGAAGAAGAAGCTAGTAGCTAGTAAAATACTACTCCATCATATTACGTATTATTATTCGGCGGCATTATTACACGAGAAACTGTGCAACCCATTCCATTCACTTACTGTTAAAGCGAAAAGAAGATAAAGAAAAAAAATTAAAAATTTCAACCTTTGTATGTCCTACCGTGTTCTATTTTGTGAACGCACACTTGTGAACTTCTCAGCCAATGAAAACAATTAATATTCCTGTTCGTTCGATCCTGATGTCGCAAAAAAACTAAAACGTTACATTTTTTAATGAATATTAATGTTTATTCTGCACGGTGTGCGGGTTGTTCAATGTATATATAAGTTTAATTATTTAATGATTATATGACGTTTTCGACAGAGTGAAACAAGTAAAACAATAACAGTAGTGAAATAAATTGCAGGTGTAATTTTTAATGTAAATGTGTTTTGTTATTTTAAATATATTTAGAATAATTTTCAATATTTGGAATCATTCAATGTAACTTATTGTTCATTTTTTTTTGTTATGTTAATTTATAACTTTATATCTTTTAAAATATTCTCTTAATTTTTCATAATGGTTTCTCTAAATATTGCTATCGCTGTCACTTCTTTTGACAAAAGATTTGCTACATCATAATCTTACTCCACTTCTTACATCCATCACCAAGATTTTGACAATGGCCTAAACAGGTTCATCCAATGATAGGTTAGGGTGCTGGTTTTTAAGAAAGAAAGTAATATTCGAATTAAAAAAAGTAATAAATTTTATATGGTGGTTTAGGAAGTGTCATGGGATCGTGGTCTAGGAGATTCTTAGTCATACATTTTAAATTCTCTCTCTAACAGAAAATTTTCTTATTATTTTTTTCCCATAAACTTATATTTATTTTCCATCTCTCTATATATCTTTTGCAACTTTTCTTTAGAAGTTTGTTCGTATATTTTTTGTCATATGAATTACCATGTCTCATTTGTCCGATTAAAAAGTATACCAAAAATTAGCCAAAGTAAAAAGAAAAATAAAAATTCAAAAAAATATGGGGTGTTAAATAATTAAAAAGACTCTATTACTTTACAACTATAAGATATGATTTCGAAAATCAATCCTAACGTTTGCTTTCCGGCGTTAGTGTATTTATTTTATTATATGCTATGATTTTTCGAGTATAAATTTATAAGTTTATAATGACCATGAAGCTTGCTTTATAAGCCTGACAAAATCAAAGGTATTTCTCGAAGTTAGCCGCTTGGCTTGCTCATACTCCTCCAAGTCAGCAAGGGGACTACGGGTACTAGTTTCATGGTGATTCGTTTTCACCTCATTCCCCTTCATGGTAGACTTCAAGCATAGAAGCTAAGGACGGAGGAATGCCCGAGGATGTCTAGGTGGTCTCAGTTGGTGTAAGTGATCGAAGGCTTGTTATTTACATTCGAGATGCAACCGCGGCCCCTGCTTCTTCCGGTGGAACTCCGGGCAACGGACTGAGCGACGAAGCGACGGGATTGAG